TTATATTATAAAATTATTACTATATTATTATATTACTATATTATTATATTATTATATTATAATATTATAAAATTACGGTATTCAGCCAAATTTATTATTATTATTATTTCTATAATATACTACTATAATATTATAATTTTTATTATATTATTAATAGTAATATAATAATAGTATAATATACTATTGGTATAATAGTATAATAGTATATTATGCTAATTATACTATTATATTAAAATTATTATTATATTATTATTATACTATTATACTATTATATTATTACATTATTATTATACTATTATTATATTATAAAATTATTATTATACTATTATTATATTATAAAATTATTACTATATTATTATTATATTATAAAATTACGGTATTCAGCCAAATTTATTATTATTATTATTTCTATGCACGTTTTTGTAAATAACCGTATACAACTTTTGTCATTGTACCGTATATTAATTCAACCATTGTAATTTTATTAAATGATACACTATTATAACGACTGAACCGCGATCGAATGTGTGACTGATTTCAGGCTATCGTTCGAATTATTTAAAAGATAGCTGTTCTTGTTAAAATTAATATTAATTTCTGTCTGGACGAAAACACTGTGTCAAATCTACTTACTTCAACTGTCATTTAAATTCACGGTGATCTGTACATCTGTAGATGTATTTTGACACGGTTGTTCCAATTAATATTTCTGGGCAACGAAAATCATCTAAAGCTATCGTGCACACGTACGTATTTTGATGCCCGCCTTGATCTCCCCAAAAAAGTCAATTTTTACAAGAATAATCCTCCCCCTTAACAGAGATGACGATTGCCTCCAACTTGTCCAACTTATTATCAATGTCCAATATAATCAAAGAAAATATATGATAACATCGGACGTTCGAATATTTCGAGAAATACCGTTGGAAGGAGCTTCGTCGTTCTGAGAGAGAGAGAGAGAAAGAGAGGCATTCTCGCGAGTGAACGCGTTCGTACGCGGCGCGAATTCGAAATCGAGCCACGGCCAGGCTTGGAGAAGAGGACGCGCGACAGGCAGTTTACTCATATTCGGTGAGTGACCTGTAACCGCGTCTCGACGAACCGGCAGCACCAAACGTTTGTCCGCCTACTGTCCGAGCTGAATATATCTGCTGGCTTGGCAAGTAGGCGCAGGGCCCCTGACCCTTCCCAACCCAGCGCCGCAGTTTCTCGCGTCGCCGACGAAATTCGGCGTAGCTCTTAACGAGACCAATTCAACGCGCAGCACCGCCATTCACCGCCGTCGTCGTTTCGTGCGATCACGGTTTCCCTGGAATTGTCGTGTATTTTCCCCCACACGATCGCTACCGCTTTTCTCCGTTAGCTCGGCGCACACGACAAACCTTTTTCCCTCGAGTCGATGTATCGGCGGACAGATTGTCGACAAAATTTGAATTCCATGCGTTTATAGATTGTTGAGAGACTTGTGTATTTTGTAGAACCGAAGGAACATCGTAAACGCAGAGCAATTCTTTTCTTTTTTTTTTTTTTTTTTTCGTTTGAAAACTAGAGGCGGTTGGTCGAAGAAGAATTGGACAATTGCGATGGTAAAAACGTGCTTCGTTAGTTTCCTCGTTTTAATTATATACAGAGATATTTGTAAAACAGTCGCGCATCCGCGCGTCGACTGTTGTAAATCGAATTTGTGAAAAATTTACTCTGGCCGAGAGAGAAACTTACGGCAGCAATCTAATATTATACCCCCCCGAGTCATTGCCGCTACCGAGAACGTTACTTTGGACGTGTAACTTCTCGCCCATCAAATTACCACCGAACTTTTAATATTCGTCAGTTTTTTTTTTTTTTTTTTTTTTAAATAAAATTTTGTATTTTATATTTTAGTAAGCTCCTGTTTTAATTGAATAAGAAAATACATTACACGTGTAATAATATACATATGTATATAAAATATAATTTAGTATAAGAAAAGCTGTTTGTTACTGACAAATACTCTAATATAATAATATAATAATAATAAAATATAATAATGTTCCAACAGCTTTTGATAAGTATTAATTAGCCAAGAGACTGAAGTGTACTATACAACGTCTTCATTTTCTCGTCAAGATTAAAGTTATCTCACTACTTATAGACGAAAGTTTCAAAACCAACAAATAACTGCTTTCAATAAGTTACATTGAGCCCAGTTGCAAGAGCACGTGTACATGAAATATAATACGAAATAAACTTTTTGATACAGAGTCTTCGCAACTAGGTCACGCTGTAACTTTCAGTAAGAGATACAGATACGGACAATTTTATTAAAGAGAATTACATCATTTTACACAAGTACTATATCGATGTATGCACATGACACATACACGCATGCTTTGTAAGTGGGGATATTTCAAACACGTGTCAAGATTAGATTTAATGTTCTTGATTGAAACAAATTTATTTCACACTCAAAAAAAAAAATAATAATTTTATATATAAGAGAAAATATATATAAATATAGAATATATATAGTCTAAACTATAGGTACTCTCAGCTTGAGAGGGTAAATATAATGACCTTGAGATGTTTGAAAAGTTTCTATTGAAAAGTCGTAATTTAACTTTGCCTAATAAAATTTTCATCCACCTTGTACCATTTTCAAGTCATAGCCTGGCCTAGTTACAGGAGTTACTCCGTAGAACCAATGCATTTTACATTACACCCTGGATTCTTCTCTTTACACAAGTAGATCAACTGTAATTTATGCGAACTTTTAACCTGCAGTCGCTATTTATTCCTTTCGCTGGCGTTGCGAAATTAAATAATTTAGATTTAAGTACAAATTAATTCGCGGCCTCTTTCTTTCATATATTTTGCGTTTATTAAATATTTTCATTTTGTCTGTGAGAAACCAAGATGGTTGAAAAATATTTGGAAAATTGTTATGTTTGTTACAATATATTATATTATAATATACTAAAATATTATAAAATTATAAATATTATAAAATACAATATATTATATTATAATATACTAAAATATTATAAAATTATAAATATTATAAAATACAATATATTATATTATAATATACTAAAATATTATAAAATTATAAATATTATAAAATATTATAAAATATAATATATTATATTATAATATACTAAAATATTATAAAATTATAAATATTATAAAATATTATAAAATACAATATATTATATTATAATATACTAAAATATTATAAAATTAATAATAATATTATTATAATTATATTATGTTAGTTATAATTAATTATAATGTGCTAAAATTAAAATAATATATACTATATTATATTATATTTATAATTATAATGTATAATATTATAATTATAAATCTCGAAGTTACAGCGACAAACCGTGAATAAAAAGTCGCAAATGAAAAAAAAAGAAAAAATACAAGGCGAACGATTCGTGCGCGAAAAGACGATAACGAACCGATTCGGACTGATGCAATCAAACGTTCCCAAACAGGCTGATATATTCCAATCCGATATTAAAGCTCCAAAGTGGAAGCTTTTACGGAATGCTGCGTCCGCCGCAATAAAAAGAAATCGGCGTCATTTCACGTGACTGGGGACGTTAATAGTTGGAGATCCCGTCTCTACGATACGCCATCGACGGTCTTGTCAGCGACACGGCGCAGTGATGTTTGTTTCAATTCGACGCGGCGAGACGAGACACTGCCGCCTGTGTGTGCCTCTGCGCTTTCAATCAGAGAGACATGCGCAAAAAGGAGGAGTGAAAGTAAGAAGGTAATTTAGCAGAGAAAGAGAGAGAAACAGAGAGGCGGAGAGAGAATATGTAAATGAGGAGAAAAATCAAAGGTGAAAGCTCGAAAACGCGAGATGCTCGGGACGAAAATATTCGTTTGCTTCTTCGTTGTGGAAGGCAGGATTCCTGAATGTGGCCGCCGGTAACGAACACGCGTGGAAAAAATAATGTAATAATAAAACGCGCCGCGTCGTAACTCTTTTGTTAAATATCCGCTCCACCGCGAATTACTCGCAAGTGTTCTCTCCCTCTCTCTCGCGTTGTTCAACATTCTTCTTCTTCTTCTTCGTCTTCTTTCATTTCATTTCCAAGAATCGTCGACGGACGCAACGAACCTCGCGAAAATTTCACAGAATTGGAAAATTCTGTGTTTCCCGCCGTGCTGGTTGACATACGCGACACAGTGTGGCGTTAGGACTTAGGGAGACATTGAAGAAAGCGAAAAGAAGACGATGAATAGAGTGTGGATTATTCGTGCATTTATTGGAATATCACGGAGAACATAAAATATCAAAGGTATAGCAGTCGTTGCAAGAATTTTCGTATCTTCAGCTACATTCGCAAAAATGCCAATTTGCATAAACGTCCACGGTGAAATAAATATGACAATAAAAATGAAATGTTAAAAAATTTCGTTAACGACGAATTTCAAGAATTCGTTTCCAGGTGCATGTAAAATACTCTCCTTCGTTTTTCTCATTATCGTCGCGCTGTGTTATTTTAGTAAACAAAAATGAAAAAAAAAAAAAAAATTCAAAAAAAAAAAAAAAAAAAAAAAATGCACGAAATTAGAAACGTTTCTTTTTAAAATCTCACAAAATTGTAGAATCGAAATGTTGAAATTTTCTCTCGTTCAGCAGGAAAATTCCAAGTAAAAATGATTAAAATGTGTTTGGTTTAGGATTAAACAGCCTATGACCTAAATTCTTGCGAGACATCTACAATCCAAAGATATCAATCAAGAGTCAAGAGAAGGTAAAAGATACAGATCACGATGAATCACGGAAAGGAGAGAGAAAAGAGAAGAAAAAAATAATAGATCACCGACGAAAGGAAAGAAATTTCTCTTTCCAGAGAGAAAATCGAGAAAAGTTAAAGGAGATCTTCGTTCTCGTCTGTGACACCGTACATCTGCGGCCGTCGTTCCTGAAGCTGTTGCTGTTGCTTTTGTGCTTGCTGTTGCTTCTGGAGGAGCGCGATGCTGGCAGCTTTGTAGTTGATCGGCCCGTAGGAGCGGTAGTCCACGTCCGCGTAGTCGAGATCCGAAAATTCCGGCTTGAAGGGCTGCGTAAACAGAACATTACAACGAACACCTTAGTCGAACGTTCTTCGGCTACGAAAACAGTGAAGCGTGTGTCGGCGCTGCACGCTCGAATTCCTCGGCATTCGAGTTCCGAGAGAGAGAGAGAGAGAGAAAGAGAGAGGGGGGGGGCAGGGGTGGTATTTCGAAGCAAGTTTTACAGAAACAGCGGAGAGAGAAACGAGCGGAAGCGTTCTTCGTTAGACTATGTATCTTTCTTCGACTTGTATCGCTTTGACGATGCACCCAGGTGCGTTTGGAGAAAGTTTTCAGAATAATTACAAATACAAGCAAGCGTTGAATGAAGAGAAACGCACGTGGACTAAAAATTCGTTTGTTCGAAAGGTATATTTTTTTGAACTCCTCGTCAGGCCAAGAAAAATATTAGCAATCAGATTGTTGACTTTACATGAATTCCTTTTTTCCTTTTCGCTAAGTTCTTTCCATTGCTAAGAGGCTAGAGTTGTACACTTTGAACTTTAAAGTTCACTGATGATAAATTATATATTCTCCTATTGTTTAGAATTTTTGAATTTAATAATTCAAGTCACTGACAATAGAATATAATATATTTTCAAAGAGTATAGTTCTAATGCTGTTCATATGTATGCATTAAAATTCAGGTGATTTTACTTTGTAACAAAGATATCCCATAGTAAGAGATATTTTATCTATGTGGTATTATCTTTTCAAGTTTTAATCCCGAAATTTTGCTCATCTCATTTTCTTGTTCTTTTATTCATCACTTTTCTTTTTTGCTTCTTCTTCATCTTTTACCACTGACTTCTATCTGATTAAACATCAGGAATGAAATAATTTCACCGTATGGTCGAAACGGCGGTTCTTCAATTCTTTTTGAAGGAAATACCTCTGTTACGTTAATTTTTAACGAGATTTTGTAACTTTGTTCACAACGATTTAACGAGACATAGAATTTCTGTTACGATTAATGACACATATTTATTTCGTATATGAAGTTCTCATAAAATACCGAATCGAAATTAATTAACGTTAAACAAAATTTCCGCACTGTATAGAATGATAAATTAAATTTCTTAAAATATATTAAATAGCTCGTTAAATAGCAAAAAAAAAAAAAATTCGTCGTGACTCCTGCTTTCGAATAATTGATTTGCTCTCATGACTTTATAAGAATAATAAAATATAATTACTGTTTTCGAAGAATGTTACACATATTTTCATTGTAAATAAGACACAATCATGTGCAACATCTTCCATTATGGCTTGACACATTACGGTACATTTAGGCGTTATCATTCGTTGTACGGTGATAATATTTATGCAAGTGATTTTTAATGTCACGCTGTAATATTTCTCTGATTTGCGATAAGCGTTCATTCAATATTTACAGTTCCATCATCAATTACGAAAGAAGTTTTCCAAGCACGGGTAAAAAATTTAAAAAAATTTGTTATTTCTTTAAGAAGATTTTCGTACTTATTTATTTATAATTAGAAAGAGAAATTTTGTATATTTTAAACGATTCGCTCTCTAAATCAGTACTTGATTTCATCTTTCGATCGGTATCATTCATGTAACAATTGATATTCGATACATCAGGATGTCTGATTAATATCTATCAGCTCTACAGCACGTGTCTGACCACATACGGTCTGCTACTACTTTCACTTTATTCTCTTCTTAATATATCCTGACAGCAAAATAAGATTATTTATTTAGCCTATTTAAGCTTCAACATTTTAAAATTAATTTTGAATTTTGCAGAAAACAATTCAATTTGTCCTATATTATAAAAAAAAAAACACCATTAATCTTTAGTGTAACAACCAAAGAACGAGGAAATATCACGTACAACAGGTTCAGAAAATCTGTTCCATTGTTAATGTATTGCGATAAGAGTTAATAAAATAAATAATAAACAACCTCGAGAAGTAAAATACTATACACGTACTACTGAATCATGACAGTTACAGTTAAGAATATTCATATTAAATGAACAAGCTTTTTCTCTTTTAATGAGCAAAAACTACGTACGTATTCGTCAACGTTAACAATAACGAATTAAACGACAAAATGTTACAATCAAATTTGGCAAACTGCAAGGCAAATTTAATTTGACTTCAACAATCCTACTTCGCCCTGTCACGTGTCTCGTGACAATTTACCCTCGTTTAGTTTCTTCCTTTTTTGCAACTAATGAACCTTCTACCTCACGGTGGTCCAAAGAATTCTGTCGGGTCGTTTCGAAGAACCTACATTTTTCAGAATCCTAGTCGACACTAGGAGGAAAAACTGATTTTTCCCCGATATTTTTCGGTTCTGTCGGGCGTTCCGCTACTATATACACGGATAAAATCCGCAACTTTTCGACACACTAAACGCGTATCGTTCGTCGATCGAATCGCGACCAAGCATCGATCGAGACAGACCCGGCATCAATATGCTGTCTACGTTTTAAAAGCAGGCATCTAACTGGCATGCTGCAACGTATCTCGTCCACGGAGCCGTTGTTCCCGCGATCATTCTAATTCTGACATGCACAATCGAACACAGCCGGATAGAGCGATCTCATCGAGCGACGTTTCTACGATGAATCGACGAATCGATCTCGACTCCGAACTTTCGACGCGCGCCTCCCAGCTCCGTGGATAGCTTCATCGTTTCGCGAGTAAACCGTGTGTGTTTATTGCCGTTAGAATTTTAATGATCAGCCAGAGATCACACTTGTTGTTGTTGTTTCGTTTTCTTTCGTTTCGCGAACGTTCTGTAACGCGAATCTCTGTTTCGTTCGTCAATAATTAACGACACGGTTGTAGAGTGATGATGGTATTTTAACAACATTTCGTGTGAATAAAATAAGAACGTTGGTAGTGTAAAGTCTGGTGAAAACGTGAAAATATCTATAAATTGTTATATAAATTGGAATGGTGCGTACGAAGTATTGTTTCATTCGTTCTCGTATAAATTTAGATTTGTAAATTGAATGCCACATTGAAAGTTCATATTTATCAGCGAATATTTAGATTAATTTACGAATTATTCGTCAAGATTCCTACGTGTTTGAAATAATGAAACTGGTCGATCCTAAAAATTGTATAACGTATAAATTCAAAGTTGATTGAACTGTACTGCACAAGGAGTTAAATCGTAATGTTCTTTTCTACCTTTCTTTTCTCACCGGTATTTTTAACACGTTGCTCCTCCCTGTTGACGCGTCTGATTTCTGTCTTTCGCTGTGCATGCCGTGCATAGAGAACTTTGACACGAGTTCCTTGTAAATGGTGTTCTACTAGAAAAGCTGTGTGTTCATGGAGCTTGCGCGGAGATCGGGACAAACTAATCCTCTGCACTTGTTAATCGACTATCGTGATGAATGCTGCGTGATGTTTGCAGATCGTTCCTTAGATTAATGTTCTTATTTTGAGAATTACTACGTTGATTCTCTTGAACTTCGGAAGGAAAGTCCCTCGGAGGCTTGAAAATTAAAAATCCCTTAAACGCCAAGATTAAAGATGACGAATGTGTTTCGTTCGACGATTTGTTTCTTGAATTAATTCGGAAATATTAGTTCTTTTCGCTGCGTCGTTAAATTATTGTCAATACCGAGTTATTGTGCAATAAATACGTTATTGTTACATAGCGATAAGATCAGGGGACTGAGATTAAAAGTAAAAGTGAATCTTTTTTTAATCGGTAGCTCGTAATCAGAGATATCAAGGCTGTTTGCAGTCCGACGGAAATTTTTAATTTGGAGCATCGTCTCGAAATTCGGGTTACCAGCGCCCATAAGTTCGGAATCAGTAGTTTGTTAAAGTTTGCGATTGGGATTGGGTTTATGACGCGGACGTGACGCTTTTCGCTGCTTTTCTAGCTTAGGTTCTTTCACTCGCCTATATCGAGGGCACTCGGGAGTGCTTCGGCACTCTGATTAAAAGAAGAAACTCGAATGTCGTCCAAATTAGAAATTTAAAATTTTCATTTACACAATTTCGCGGATACAGGGTAGAATTCTTTTTTCTCTTTTTTTCAAATTGAAAGTAAGAAAGATCATCAACAGTGAAAACGAGTATTTTCATTTTTTGTTCTCATCTTCGAAAATTTTTCACGAAATTTGTGCCATCATTCTGATTCAAAATTCCAAGTGAATACGCCTTCGCTCGAACTGTTCAATTAAATTAGGCTCTGTCTGAAAAACAGTTTTTCAAGCATCTATGTGCCAGGCATTTTTAACAAGTATCGGTCTCGAGTCCTGTTGATGCATTTGGCAAACGTAGAGGACATTTGTTACTGGCACCAAACAGCAAGATGCTTAATTTGGGCAAACACTGCTCCCATTTAGGCTGACTAAACGCAACAGTTGCGGAGGAACGTCTGGAATTTGTCAATAACGAAGGCATTTCTCAAGAAGGTGTGCTAAGTCGACGAAAATCGGCGATGTTTGGCGTTGACTTTCAAGTCAAAATCACCTCGAGTCCCTATCACATTTCTTTAATAAATGGACAAATCTATGAAATAATTTGTCATTTTTAGAAGGATGAATAATTCAGAACGAACGCGCCTTAACAGCGAGTTCTCAAATTTTGCTAGAATCGTTCTTTAAACAATGCAATATTATATATTATTATTAAATTATGTTAAACTACATACTTTACGTATTTTTTATTTTATAAAAAATTTTTTAATTTATATTTCTATATTATTAAATATTATATTGAATTATATTAAACTACACACTTTACGTATTTTTTATTTTATAAAAAGTTTTCAATTTATATTTCTAGATAGATGAAAGGTACTTAGAGTAAAAATTAGTTTGAGAATTATCTCATCTTCCATCGTGATATAATTTCTGCAAAATAGCTGGCGCCACTTATCTGTAGAGGATTATCGATTCAACAAGTAAACCAACTATGGAAAGGCGATTAAGCGATTATGAAAGAGTATAATCTTTCGAAATGAATCGTTTATCTGCGCGTTGTAGATCGAATCCGACAACGCGCTTAAGAAACACTGTGTAAATCTTGGCAATACGCGATTTCGTTATCTCCCGGGACTTTCATTCTCGGAACTTACGGCCGCAGTATGTAAAGAAGAAATTTACAAATTCTATTGGCAACGAGAGGAAATTACCAAGTATTTCTCGTTTATTAAAATTATATTAATTAATTAAATTATAAAATATCAAAACTGAAAGATATATTCTTTTCGTTCGTGCGTATAAATTTATATAAACTCGTAGTAGAAATTTATAATTTATTATGTTCAATACTCCTCCTTCAAGTTGTTCCCGATCAAATTACATTGAACAAATTTCTTGTATTTGCTCGCACGTGTGATTTAATTTCGTAGTAGAAATTTATAAGTTATTAAGTTCAATACTCCACCTTCAAGTTGTTCCCGATCAAATTACATTGGACAAATATCTCGTATTTGCTCGCACGTGTGATTTAATTTCACGCTGCGAAATCCTCGATACCATTAAAACGGTCGTTCATTTGTTGAAACGAGAGTGGAATTAAGATATAAAAATTGTAACGAAACGTATTACATTCAAGAAACTAATCACCAAACGAGCGAACGATAAATCTCCTAAAGATAACCTGTTAATTTAATCTCCACCGAGATTTCCACGTCCCAAGTGTTAATAATTTTCAATCAAGAGACTCTGCGCGAAAGCTGTCAAGTGCAAAGGATTAAAAACTACAATATCGAAAGCTTTTTCTACACGCAGAGGGTTCACTGTCCGTACACACACGTATGGGGCACGCACATGTCGGATCGATACTGATAACAAATCTAAGCAATACGACGTAATTCATAGAATACAATGTACCTACAAGGCATGTCGGACGCCAAAATGTCCTAGTAAATGTACGTATCGCTCTTTGTCCGCTGACCCTCCTACGAACAAACATTTAGATACAATTGTTATGTATGACAGCCTCGTTGCATGTGAATACAAGCGACACGTCGTTTCAATTTTCGTTTAATTCTTATAATTTGCCCATTATGTAATACTTACATTACGATTTATCACTTTTTACTCGAACGCTTGTAGACATTTTACAAAGTGTCTAGTTTTTATATGACACAATTGTTCCACGATGATATATTCAAATATTTTTGTGAACCGTCGCACACATTCATTTAATTCGTTTAATTCTCAATATGTAATAATATTCATCTGATTCTTCCGATCTCTAGCACTGCCGTTAACCTACTTTCTGGATTTCGATTTCAATTCGGTATATCGATAAACTTTTCCCGGTTACTGCGACGACTCGAGTGTTTGAACAACGCGATTGTCGGCACAGTGATTTACAGAGCAATTCATTTGTTTCAACCGCGCGGAGAAAAAAAGGTGTCATTGTTATTTTTAATGTTGGGCAATCGGCGAGACAACTGCCGGAGAATTTTTCAAACGTTCACGTTTGAGGAATTTATAAGCGAGATTTTTAATTCAGCTGCAAACATTCGTTAATAGTTAGGCAACGGTGGAAATTTCTCTGTGAAAAAAAAAAAAAAAAGAAAAAAGAAACTCGTTTTATCGTTTAGTTTACCTGCTTTCAACTCCACGCGGTTTAATTGGCTTTTTCTCTTCGCCGGCGAGTTTCAAATAAAAAATACTTACCGATCGAGTCGATGCGAGAAACAGAAGACAAAAGAGAGAGAGAGAGAGGGGGGGGGGGTTTGGAGAAAAAGGGAAAAGGGGAGAAGAGAAACGCAAATCCGTTGTTGATAACTGAAATTGTTGAAATCATAAAAGTGGCAAGCTCAGAAGCGTGTTTGGAATGCAACGGCCGAGAAAACAAGCAAACAAATGCAGGGAAGTATATAAGCAGAAACGAACGTGAACAAACAAACGCAATTTCCATCGGGGGAGAGGGGGGGGGGGCAAAACTGTGAAATCTCGAGTGAGTAGGAGATTTAAGCTTGAAAACGAAAAATTAACGAAAGAATTAGGCGTCCAAGGAAAAAACGAAATGTTTCGCTTCTTTCATACCTGTAACTTCGTTGAAAAATTAAGACGAACGATATTTATCCAGTAATTTGTTAGTTTCGCGTTCTTCTACGTTCGTTTAAATGAGTTTCTGATAGATAACGTCGTAGCCAATAATTCAGTAAAAATTACTAGATATTCTGTTCGAAGATGTAGATTGATTATTAGACTGATTTCTTTTCGAATTCAAGAATTCACGTTGCAGTTTCACGAACATTTGGATTTTTATTGGATTTTATTCGGTACGAAGAAGATAATTTACTTCCACGTAGAATATTCATTTAAGAAATGTAGAAATCTTTTCCACGTTTTCCGGTGCTTTATATTACGTTTTATAACGATGCTCATATTTTATAATCCGACTCAAGGATCAAACGTTCTTCCACTTTATTATCCCGTCTTGTATTTAAAACTCTTTACTTTGGTAAAATAAATTCTACGTATTCAAATGTATTGATCTTTGTATCTATGAATCGAGAAATCTCGAAATATCTCAAACATTTGCGCTGGCAACCGATCGCGGACCATAACGAGTGACCAAATCGTATATAACAATTCGTCGTTTTCTTTTCGAACTCGTCAGATAGAAATCATTGAGAAGTAATAAATTTATTATTCGTTTTGCCTGGATTATATTTAAATATATATATATATATATATACACTTGAAACCGAGAGAATATTGCAATTTTTGGGACGAATAAAAGTTCTCGACGTACGCGGCAGAGGTTAAACTCGCATACGCAAACAAAATGTCTCTCGTATTTACGACGAACGAACGAACGAACGAACAGAAGGCGATAGTTTCGCGCGATGTCTCACTCGATCGTGAAGTCGAACGTGAATTCTCGAAAACCGAGGACCCGTGAAAGCCGAGGACCCGTTCAACTGACCTTTTAGACGTCGATCTCCTGACCGACGTCCCGGAAGTGTAGCTCGGCGTACTGCATTATCGTGGGCGCGGACGGCGATCGTCCGTCGCCGAGATTCGACGACATCCTCTTCGACTTGTTCCGGTTCTTCGTGTCGCCGGTGTCCGCGTAGTGCGTGCTCTCCGGCGGGCAACGATTCGACTGTCGTTCCCAGATCTGCTGGCGGGAGCCCGGGTTCGATCTGTGATAGTCGGCGGGCGGACACTCCGCGATGTCGTCCTCGTAGTAGTGCGGATAGGCGATTTTGTACGTCTCGGGTATACCGAGCTCTTGCACCTGGTGGAAGCTCGTCTCGCAGGAGGGCGTATTGCTGCCCGCGTACGCGTCCGCCCTCCTCGACGCTTCCGGCCGCCTTTGCTTCTGCTTCCGCTGCTCGCTACGCTTGTGCTTTCTGTACTTTTGACTTCGGTCGCTCGATCGGTTGCCCGAGTGGCGACGTGGCGGTTGCCTCGTGGCTGAGTCGTGGTTCGCGTAATTCTGTTGCTCCTCGTCCGGATGCGCCACCATCGACGGATGATGGTTCTCGTGTTGTTGTTGCTGCTGCTGCTGCTGCTGCTGCTGCTGCGTGATGGCCGGTGGCCGGCTGTTCGCATGCACGTACGAGGTCTGCAAAGGGCTAACTATCGAGGAATGGTAGAGGCTGCGCGTTAGTGGCAGTGTTAGTTGGCTGGAACTGTTGCTCGGTAACGGGTAGCTGTACTGCTGCATCTCCTGCCGGTGTTGCTGCTGGTAGTGTTCTTTGTAGTTGTATAGGCTGTCGGTCTGCAACAGGCAGACGGTTAGTCGCTGGGGATACGAGCGTCGGGGGAGGTATCGTTAGTGCCGGGTATCGCGGATACCGAGCTCCGGAGGCGAAATGTTATTTCGTCTTTCGATCCTGCCAGTGGATTATTACCATACCATGGCGCGAGGGATGATTGGTCGCTTGTATATCGTAGAAAGGTCGTCTATCGGGATTTCGCTTTCGCGGAATATCGATTCTTTGTTACGCGAATGATTTTAATTGGGATTCATTGGGCCGAATGTTTTTCGGCGACGAGAGGAATTTTAATTTGGAGACGTTACGCATTGACGGACGATTGGAAATTTTTTTCTTTTTGGGAGGAAACATATTTCGTGATTAGACTGATCCAAGTGATTTCGCGAGAGGTGAATTGAGATTCAAGTCTGGACTCTTTAGCACGTTTAATGAACTTAATGACAAAATAATCGAAACGCGCGGTTGTCTTTCGCGATACGCGAGGCTTGAAAAGATTTTTCAGCGAATGAGAATTTGTCGAAGAAAACGTAGGGGTTACAGTGGGCAGTTTCACTTTTTGAAAATCATCGTGATTTCGTTCAAATAACATGTATCGATTGTATCAGTTGTATCGCATGAGAGACAATATTTTTCGTTCCGAAGGAATAGCAAGAGATAGCAATTTCGGTGAAATTGAAGTTTCTAAATAAGTTTCTAAATAAACGAGCAGTTTCAAAGCTGCTAACTGTATATACTCGGAATCGAAATTGGCCGTGCGACTCGTTAACAGACGTGGCGGGCAATCGAAACGAAAATTTCATCGAGTATATCGATCGTATTGACAAATAACGTTGAACGAGGAATTTTTTCGTGGCATTACTATTTATTTTGTATGTCATCACGTTCAGATGTACATGCACGGCGTTAGCCGTGTGATGATTAATAGCGATTCCATAGGAAAACTATCAATCGTACAACTATCGATCGACTTGAAGTAAAAGCGTACAGTTTAAATACTTATTAATCGTTATCACGCCACATTATTTGTGAATGAAATTTCGTACAATTTTGTGCAATTGATTCTCTCACGATGAATTGTCATCTGTTTTTGAACAGAATGGCTATGCGCGTGAACGTTGAAGTTACTTTCGAAATTACTGCATCCGTGTTTAGTTATTTCTTACGGCGCGTTTATGCATCAAACGAGCAAACGTTCGTTCACCCCGAAATTCAACGAAACAAATTTCCGCTCATTTGTTATACTAAACACTCGTTTAACGAACGCAACGATATGAATATAAGCATAATTGGTTGAAATAGAGGGAGGGAGGGGGGGGGGGGGAGGACGAACGAGAATTCGTTCGTTTGAAACGAGCATTAATATCGTTGATCGCAAAGTTTCAATTTCGCCGAGCATGAATTCCCCGTTTCCACGCTTTGTCGTTTCTTTTCGAAATCTACGTCGAAGTTACTTTATCCAGCCACGTGCGACAAATTTCTTTCTCTTAGGGAGCTCTTTCACCGTTCAGACAGTGTTCGATATACACTGTCAATATTTGAAGATTCTCAGCATTATCGTACGAACGTAAGACACGATCGCTACGTATTGTAAACGTATCGATCGTGTCGATGATCCCTTATTTACGAGAATGTTGGCACTCTTGAACGCACACGTCGATCGTCCGAACGATTTTCGCGAGATTCAGTGAAACAGAGCCAGTGTACCCTACGATCGACGTTTTCTCTTTTCTCCCGCGACCGCCGGATATAAGTCCAGCGATTCGAAGAATGAGCGAAACGTCGTTATCGCGCGCCTCTCGGCGAGAGTACTCGTTTACAGGGAAGGATCGTTTGAAGGCTGGCGTCGCGCCTCGAAAAGGATTTCCTCCTCTCGGTAAGCGTCTGTATCTGTGTTGCTTCGAAACAGAGACAGACCGAGGAGACGACGGTGTTTTTCACAATCTCTTCGAAACAATGTCAATTCCGCGCGAGAGGGAAATTTTTTCTCAGAGCGTAGAGAAAAGGAAAGAAAGAAAAAAAAAAAAAAGAAAAAGTTAAAGTAAATGAGAAGGACACCGGCCGCCGCTGTATGTTTAAAAGGCTCCGAAATAATATTTCACCTCCTTTATAAATATATATATATATGAACGAGGTTGAAAAAGCTTCTTCGTGGCAAGCGACGTGTGCTGCAGTTGTTATATTCACGTGTGTACGTGTGTGTTGGTGTGTTTGTGTGGAGACTTACTTGGTACGCGGCCGACATACACAAGGACGGTGTCGCTACATAGGTGGCCAGATCCAGCTTAGCAGGGAAAATATGATTTCCGATTATAACTCGGCAACTCCGGCAACTCTATCTCCTATTTGCTCGAAGCTGCTGTTTTATATCTATTGCGGACACGTAAATCGTACTCATGCAGTAGGTGCGTTGCTAATTATTCGAGACTGGTGCTTAAAAGGATAGGATTTACTTTCTTTTCTTTTTCTTTTTTTTTTTGTTGTTGTACGACGCTCGGGAATATCGTTGCTGCCGCCTGAGCGTCAATCTCGTTGCTAGGTCACGTAGAAAAATGTAAATCGTTATCTTGTACAAGTATGTACATCGTGTTTCAAAGTATACCTATGCTAAAGGATGTACATATTGGCTGACAGAATAAATTAAACGCGAGACTCTTTCTTTTTCGAGCGTTGTTACGACAGAGTATCGGAGAGTTTTACTGAACGAGCGAGAAGAAACGTGAATTATGTTGTTTATTAAAAAGACGGAAACGACTGAAACGTTCGAAGAGTGAAATTATTTTCGTTCGCTTCTATTTCTCGAATGTGTGACTGAGTGATTCTGAGAATGGCGTTGGAAAGTCGTCGGGTATGCAAGAATTTATAGAGATAATAAAAATCTCATTGTCTTACATTATCTCTTACTGTAACTGTAACTGGAAATCATGTACTGACAATGTTAGCAATCACATCATTTAATCGCGAATGGAAAATCTATTCTGGAATGGATGATCTTTCTCTTTTGGAAATATCATTTCAACGATCAAATTTCAAAAACGATTTCCCCCGTAATTTTCCCTCAAAAGTTCTGACCACTTTCCACAATCTTAATCACTCTCCCAAAGAAACCTAACCCAATCAAACGAATGTTTCGCAAATCCTCTTCATTTTTCTCGCCTAAGGCTCTGAGTACACTCCTTCTCTCACTCCAGAAAACGTACATCTTATCTACCTGCAGGAACATGCTGCAAAAACCAAGATAGAACACAAGAAGGAATGATTGGTCCGATCGATCGATCACCCGGGCAAGACGATCAATCGCAGCGTGTTCATTTCAACGGGCAAGTTGGCAAGAAATGGAGCGATTTCTCGGGCGGCAGCAATGGTTCTTCACGAGCGGCTACGAATACGGGTACTTAACGTACATGGGGAAGGAACACGAGTAGTCGACAAACCTTGGTCCTGGGCAACGAGGCGTTTCCCGGTGGAAAAACAGGAGGGGGGACGTTTTGATAGGTGTGCTTCGAGGGATCTGTCTTCCTTAACTTTCTCGGCGCTGGGATCGGCGGCGTTGGCGCCGCTGTCGAACACTGCGACCGATTCTCACCGGATTGCTCCTTGCTCGAACATCGACTATCGTTGGAATTTTCATTCTCGTTGGGATTTTCATTCTGATCCGGCTGATTGGCTGACTGATTCGACAACGACGGCGTGCCGGACCTGACGATCGTCGTGATCGTGCTGGTGCTACCGTTTTTATGCGGGCACTTGTATATCGGTATCGCGTAGAGCTGATACTTCCTGTGCACGTCGCTCTCGTGCTTGCGGCACAACCTCAGCGAGTAGAACTGCGAACGTTTGTGCTTCCTACGGCGTGGCTTCAGGCTGTTGTACCTCAGCACGGGCGAATTGTTCCTGGGCATGTTGTAGTCGCTATAGTGGGGCCCTAGGTGGCTCCTGGTCGACTCGTAACCGGAACTGGCGTCGCACAGCGACACCGTTCTGCTAGGTGGCCGCGAGGGACACGGCGAGCTCGATAACGAACGGTGATGATGACGATGGTGGTGATGCAACGTGCCATGCAAAGCCGAAACTCGAGCAAACATAGGGGAAACCAACTAAAACAAAAGACAACCGGCCGCTGCTTTTATGCTCCAGCCTCTCCTTTTCACTCCAATTCGTCTTTGCTCGCATCCTCTGAATTGCAGAAATTACGAGAACGACTTCGTTTTAAAACAATTTCCGCCAGGACTAGAAACTGAGAATTTTCTGCACTGTTGCTGGAATAATTATTATTCGCGAGTAATGGTATTATCGACACTGAGGTAATTTATAACATTTACCAATCGTGTTGATAATTTGTCACTTGCGACAATTATTAAATAGACAATAAGACCTGACACACTTTATATTGATCGAACAAACTTGATAATCACTTTACGCAGAAATTACGAGTTTTGTTAACTCAGAATTTGAGTATTGATAACATTAAATTTCTTAAATGACAATTTGACATTTTGATCGACGTTCTTTTAATAATTATTTCCAAAGGTTTTCAATTTTCTTTTTGCTGTACTGCAAACAATAGCGGAGACATTTTTCTCTGGTCTTTTTTTTTTTTTATCAATGGAATACATTGTGACAAACTGTAACTTGAGATTTTTCGCCATTTTCGTTCTAATAGAATTGGAGTGCAAAGAACTGAAACCCTTCAGACAATTCAGTGCCAAAGAAAAACTGGAAATACTTTTCAATTAATTATATAAACGCACGATTTAAAGAAGAAATAAATTTTATCATACGGTAGTCTGTTCCACCGTAATTTTTCCGTCTGTGTTTTGTCGGAAGTATTTACTCCTGATATAAAGTTTCAAGCAGGAATATCGAAATTATTCTTGAAAATAACAACTCTCGAAGCGTTCGTTTCGCTGGACGTTTCTGTTTAACGAAGGCCAACGAGAAAATAACTAAACCGGGCGTAAAGCAGCTGTTGTTATTACTTTTCATTGCTTCAAGGTACTTCTGCATTCAGTCTCGAATTAAAAGTTTCTACGCAGAGAATACTCTCGAGAAGCTTTATGTTCAACACAAGTCGAAAATAAATCTTCGTATCTTCGAGCGAGTTGCCCGTTTAAATATTTCGCGCGATATTTTTGCACTGAACAACCTTTGGGTTTCGTCGATGTCGTCTTCAACCTACAGCCAGCCCATTCTCTCGAAAAGGTTCTTCGATTATAAAACTTTTGATCATCAAAAGATTCGATTGTAGAGATAATGAAAACACTGTCTATTTTTGTCGTTGCAAAATTTGTTTCAATTCTATGTTTGTTTCAATTTTTGTAACAATTTTCAAGTCTTGCAAATTGCTTAAGAAAAAAAAAAAGATAATTAAATTTACATTGAAAACCTATCTCTCCTCTATCCATTGGGTTAACTAAAAAGTAACTGCGTTTTCTCGTGTGCAAACGAATTTTTCGCGAGAGGCGAAAACTTTGTTTGACAATATATTGACCATTTTGTTCGACCATTTGATCTTTTTCGATAAAAAGTATTCCAAGAACGATTTGATATTCTCGTCAGCAGTGAAATTTAACAAATCAATTCTGACGCTGCGCAGTTTGAAGGCTGTTACATAATTTCAAATGTTCCTCTTTGATTTTCCATTTCGAAATCGACTTGCTAAACAAACTGAAGCTATATTTCAAGATTTTTTTAATACACGTTCGTCTATTAAAAAAAAAAAAAAAAAAAAAAAAAAGAAAATGCAATTATCTTTTTTGACCAAACCGATATATTAGAAATCGTACTTAGAGCTCTTCGAAAACCAAAAGCTGTGAATCATACGATTGTCGACACGTGTGTTTGCCTGCGTTTCTCGTCATTAGGCAAGAGAGCACGTGTCCGTAATCGACATCGGCCGTTCGTCCGAAAAATTCGTTCACCGAGCATAACGGCCCAGCCATTGTCGCCCGAATGTCAACTGCGTAGCCGTGCAAGCAAACAGGCCAAATGGACAAACTGGAATACTGGCTGCAGAATGAGATCCGGTCATCGAGACGCGGCTATTGTCGCGTTTGCTTCATTTCAATCTGAGCGGGCGAAATTGCCTAGCTAGGCGATTTCAAGACCAGTGCCGGATAACAAGCAGAGAAAAAAAGAAAGAAAGAAAGAAAGAAAGAAAAAAAGGAAATAACAAAACAGGCTGCCTCTTAGCTGCTTCACACTGTTGCTTTTAATCGTCTCACTTACCTTGGATACGTAGACTCGGTCGAAGAAGCCGATCGCCGTGAAACGAGTCGAGTTAAACGCGAGCTTTGGATTAATCAAGCTACTTCGAGTTCGAATGACTTTAAACAAGCCTCAAACAGCGTCGTTGGATCGTGGATTCGATGGTGTTTGACTTCAATTTTGTACTTCACGTTGTTTGCGATTTGATTAAATTAAAAACGCTGCAGAATTCGATCGAGCCAATGATGCTACTTTGATCCACTGATGATTTGAAACTTATACGTTCACTTGTGCACACATTGAAAATTTCAAAGAAAAACCAAATGAATTGTCGAACGATGGTTATTAATGCCCGGATTTTTAGCCACACTCGCGCTCGCGACTGACGATCTTCGCGGTTAGCAGAGACTCGCGAAGTATAAACAAAGTAGGAGAACTGAAACCCAAAGTCGCGAAAGAAGGAAGTATTTTGCATATCCATGTCGGACTGCTGAAAGCGAAACGTGCCGAAGTTACAAAGTCAAGTTGACCGAGTTAATCCGAACGAGAGACTCGATGAACGAGAGAATCGTGCGAGGGAATTCGCGTTTCGGGGGGAGTAAATTTGCCGGAACGAGCGTGTACGGCGCGCGCGTTTCGCGAGGCTATCGGGAAATTAATTTGTTATCTCTGTGTAATTTTGACAGGGGCACGGCGGGGCGCAATATCGATCAATCCGCCGCGTCGATGACGATTTATGATGTGACCGCCCGCGACTCGTTTCCCGTTAACCCACGGACATCTACGTGACGGCCCGTGGTTTGCACGGATTCGCCTGAATATCCATTCATTAACCCTTCACGCTTCTGCTATATTGCGCGCGCGCGAGAGAGAGAGAGAAAGAGAGAGAGATCGTTGCTTTATCGACGCCACGGCTTTTGCCTCCCAAGCGAATTTCACGCTTTAAAGGCGCGCGTAATTTTCACCCTCTTGCCGCTTTTCGCGTTTCACAATTTGTTGAACACGCGTATCACCGCGGATCTCGCTGCATTGTTGACACTGTGACTAACGACCGGCAAGTTCTGTCAGAAATTTATAAAAGTAGTGGCTCCTTTTTTTTTTTTTGTATAAAGAAACGATCGGTCGCTGTGAGAAATGGGGAGTTAGGAGCATTTATACTTATACTTGCTGGAATTTATTTTTCTGTTGAAAATCATATATCAAAACTGAGACTCGCACAATGATATCGATTACTACGTAATCGACGCAAAGAGAGGTGTAGATTGTAATTCTTTTGGACTTATTCAATTATTCTTTGATTTAATCATTATTCAATTATTCTTCTGGATCGATTTTTAAATATCGCTGCTGGCGAAACGCATTCTGCATGGAATCACCTTTTTCGTAAAATTCCTTCCTTTGAACTTTCCTTTCTCAATAGATTCTCTCCTAATTTTGTTCAAGAAGAATTTCGTTAAGAACAGTTCTGTAATTTATCAATTACAATTCCTGTACAATCTCATTAAGTCTACTTTCGAAAATTTTATACAATTCCGACGCAATCCCATTCACGATCATTCAAAATGCACGAATGACAATCACATTCGAACACAACGCGAGTAACAATTCCTACGTAAAAACCAGAAAAGAGTATGAACAGTTCGTTCATACGAGCTTCCATTTACTCGAGCCAATTAGACCCCCCCCTAGATCCAATCAATTCTCGGCTGTCGAATCCACTCGCGTAAACGCCAACTTGCTCAGACAAAAACGTTACTCGCGAGAGTAAGAAGGGGAATTATTGAACACCGGTTACGATGAACTTCAATCGTACAAGCGTAGTTTGTCCTCTCGCGACTCCGTGTCTTTGTCTTCCGTTCCGAAACTCTTCGCACAACTTCGAGAACGTTCGACAGGAGCCACAATTACTCCTATCCCCCCCCCCCCTTCTTCGTTGACTGAAACCCGTTGAGAACCTAGGCTACCTAGAAGCGTATCTTCGCTGACAGTACATTCAATTATCGAACGTCAGTCGTCGGCGCGTAGCAGTTTGTTAATTACCCTCTTCGAGGTACGCGTGAAGCCGGGCTACGACAATATTGGGCACAAAAGGTTAAACGCAGGCGAGAGAGGAAGAGAGAGAGAGGGGGGGGGGGAAGAGAGAGAGGACGAGCAGGGAAATTAGTCGGTTGGTCGATCGTAAGACACGCAATTATTGAAATGGATGTCCAGGGGAGGTGAAAGGGAGAGGGACGAGGTCTCATAGCGTAGAAAGGGGCTTTGAAGGGCACCCGATGCCGGCGTTGCATCTTTAATCAGGCATCGTGGCAATTCCACGGCGTAATCACAGGAGGGCCTCGTCCGCGCGTAACGTGAGATGCAAATTGGCGAACATTTATCGACTCGCTGATTATTTAGCGTCTCTAGGAAATTGATCCCCCGCCGGCTGGATGGTCTTGTTCAAAGCGGCCAAGATGGATGATAATGTCCAGCCGTCATCACCGGGTTGCGTTGCGATTCCCGGGGGATCCCCGGGGACACACCGCGTGGATTTTCCAGGATTTAGTCACCTGGAAGCAGTCTAATTCTCTTGGTTTCGGTTGCGCAGCGTTTAACGGTAGAACGGCCAAACACGCCGATACGATCTGAACCGTTTTTCTATCAGAGATTCCGGACGTTGATAACTACGGACTTACCCTGTTACGTCTCGTTGTTATTTCAATTCTAAATGTCTTTTTCTCGCGTTTGCGACAAGCGACAAAGTTTTAACGATTTTTTTTTTTTTTTTTTTGGTAATTTCGATGTGTTGATTCAAATGAGCGTATCTGGTTTTGGCAACTTTGGAGAAAAGATTTTCAGTGTTTAACGATCAATATGAACGTTTATATCATCAATTTAGCATTAACTTATA